TGCCAAAAATCATAAGCGTGAACACACTATCCCAGAGATCCTCAACGGCTCAAAACTGTTCAGTCCATTCTCATTTGAATAAGGTGACCAGATTTCTGAAAAGAAAACCGGGGACATTTCCTGGTTCTGTGGTCAAAATATCACTGAAATCTAACTTGCGATTATCCACGAATTAAAAAACGGGGACAACATGTTTTTTGTTTAGTTTAGTTTTTTTTATTGTTGTAGGTTCCATATATTAATATCATAACTGACAGGCCTAATTACAGTGATGTTTGAGGATCAAACTTACCCTATTTTTTTTTAAAAATACAATTAACCAAAAATCACACTATGAAAAATAGTAGGCTAAGTAACTATTGCAAATAGCAAACATATCAAAACACTATAACAAAATTATGGCTTTACAAAAACACAAAAAATTAAACAATAAATACCAGAACATATGATAAATAAAATTGTATTTAACAAATATGTTATTTTCTAACTGTATTTAACATTTTCACAACTGTGAGTGCAATAATTAGGCCTACAACTTTTCAAATTTTATGTTTATGCTTTTGGAAATGGATCTTTTCTATCCCTAATCAGGCTTATTATTTTGCATTTTAAGCTAATTTTGACCATAAATTATGTGCTTTCTGCAAATGTAATTGTGCAAGTGTAATCGATTTTTTTTTTTAATCATACCGTTTGTGACAGCGAAAGTTTCAGGAATGTTTAATATTGTGTGCAAAACAATCACGTAACCTTATCATGCCTTGTTATACAGTGCACACAAACAGTATCACTTTGTTTTAACATGTACAGTGGGTACGGAAAGTATTCAGACCCCCTTAAATTTTTCACTCTTTGTTATATTGCAGCCATTTGCTAAAATCATTTAAGTTAATTTTTTTTCCTCATTAATGTACACACAGCACCCCATATTGACAGAAAAACACAGAATTGTTGACATTTTTGCAGATTTATTAAAAAAGAAAAACTGAAATATCTAGCGCTCTGCTGCTCTAATGCAAGCTAATTATGGCTACAGTAGCAGCAAGCGACCAAGTAATTAGCTCACAGCGCCCTCTGCTGGTGAAATAACCACAATCATACGATTGCCAGCTGGCTAAATTGGTCAAGTATGGGAAAATGGCACGTATGGTCACCCTAGTCAAGTAGATATAACTGCAGTTATACCCTTCTCAAATTGGTCGGGCATTTACAGTGTAGCCTATTTGCAGGTTGCTTTGAATGTGCTGTAAAACGGGGACATTTCCGGGGACAGATCCAGGCCGGGACAGGACACAAAAAACCGGGACTGTCCCCAGAAAACGGGGACGTCTGGTCACCCTACATTTGAATCATCTATTTTCCGTGTCCACTTTTCTTTTCTACACACTCGCCATGTTTTTGCTGTCACATTGTATCTACACTGGACGCGACAAAGCATTGCAAATCATTTGAACGTTGTGTCCGTAGGCCTCCGTTAACGGTGACACGAGTCCCCATGAGTCGGTGTGTATTCAGGATTAAGTCCCCACTGGGATAGAAACACACACACACACACACACTTGCTCTAGTGCAAAATAAGGTTACACTCACTCACTTCAGTGTCTACAAGACTCCACCTAGCTCATTCATTTACCATTTACTGGTGTGTGATGGAGAAAAAAAGAGATCTGTCAAACCATACAGATATCAAAGCCTTCAAAACTCACTTTCAAAGCATTAGTTCAGGCAAAAGAAAGTTGTTACCATTAAAGGGTTAGTTCACCCAAAAATGAAAATGTTTTACTCATCCTCGAAGCATCCTAGGTGTATATGACTTACTTCTTTCAGACGAATAAATGCGGACAGAGAACAAAACAAAACGCTGGTCACGAATTAGAAGTACAAACCGAGGATTTGTAAAGAAAAATGTCGGAGGATTTCGATATAAACCAAGAGGAGACTGGTTTTCCTTTGCTAAAGTAAGGAAACTTTGCCTCCTTTGCTCCTATAAACAAACTCGCGAGACTAGCATATCTCAGAGGCACGCATGCTGCGCATACGTCCTGCGTCATCCGCCGGAACCGCCGCCGCCGTCATCCGCCACGTATGACAGATACCAGAAGTGAGAGAAAAATGTTTATTACGTTTGAAAAATTGATATTTTTCTTAGAAAAACTCATGGATTCACTACAGGAGGCCTTTATTCACCCCCCGGAGCCGTGTGAGGCACGTTTTATTATGGATGCGCACACTTTATTTGACGACTTGTGGACTGTTCAACTGCAACACCCGCTGACTGCAATGATAGAGCTTGGAATAGCCAGGACAATTTTTAATATAACTCCGACTGGATTCGTCTGAAAGAAGAAAGTCATATACACCTAGAATGCTTCGAGGGTGAGTAAAAAACAGGCTAATTTTCATTTTTGGGTGAACTAACCCTTTAACTCGACTTCTAAACATATAAGATTTTCCCCCCATAAAGTCATATAGATTTGGAACAACAGGAGTAAATAAGGACAGAATTTACTTTATTAGGTGAACTAGCCTTTTAAACAATCACTAGCACATTTAATTTTTAAAAACAGAATCCTCAAATGAACAGCCAGCAGATTTGAACTAGGTACAAAATATTACTTGTTGGTAATTATAGTTTGCATTGACTGTGTAGTACTGTGGGTAATGTGGGTATAGTCTTAAAGTTAAAATGTTGGAGATTTGTCACCAAATCTGAATTCTTGAAGTGATTTTAAAGACTAACCGTGTCTCCAAATATGTTTACTTCCCTACTATATAGTAGGTTAAAAAGTACATGAAGCAAGTAGAATTTGTAGTCTTCGTAAAACAATAGGCAAAAAGTACACACACAAACTACTACTTCCACCGAGATTCCGAAGTGTGCATGAGATGGACACCCATGTGGCCACAAGAGAGGAGTTGTGAAAGGTCACATGACAAAGCAAGATGGTGGATGTAGTATTGATTTCATTCATACTACACACATTCATTTTATATAGAACATACTTTTTTAACAGTCAGGAAGTTTGTTCCACATCAAATGAAGTGCCCACTCTGATAGTATGCAATTTCAGATGCACCTTGATTCAATCCAGGGAAAATAACTTGTTTAGCTTTGTGTATTCTTCTCATGGCACAGTATACAGCAAGGAATGAGTCATTCCTCACATAACATTTCAAAAGTCAACAATATGTGTTTTGGTTCTATTGTGCTGTCCATGCAATGTAATAATTCATTCATTTTAAGAGCATGTTATGGGGGCACAGTACACCATGTAGGCCTATACACCTCTCTTAGACTCATCACCTTACTTTAAAGAGTGTTATGATCTACTTTAAAGATGAAAGAAATACTCTTTTCTACTACAGATAAGAGAGAATGGATCAGAGGATAGAGAGAGAAGAGAGAAGAAAGGTGCCTCTACACTGCAAAGCAATGCATCTCTTAGCAGAAGAATGTCTTACAAAAGTTTAACTGGTAGAGAGAAATAGGCCAGACTAATGGAGTGTGTCACAGAGAACTGAGGCCAACAGTACTCACACTCACTGTCTGAGGACAAACGCACAACAGTTAACTTCATTAGTAGCACCTGATACATAATTAAAGAACATGAAATAATCTGTAAGGTTTTCACGAGTATATAATACAGTGGAGTCCCAATCTCTGAGACCTCATTAAAATCTGAGATTCAAAATCCTCTGAAGTTTGTAAAGGGACATTATAAAATAAAATGAATAAGAAATATTTACTCATCTAATATTTAAGGCTATTTTCAGGTCACTATTCAAATAAAATAATATTTATAATTTTTATATACACTACCAGGGAAAAGTGGAATACATCAGTTTTTTAAATTGTTTTTATGCCTACCAAGGCTGCATTTATTTAATCATACATAGAGCATAAACAGTAATAGTGTGAAATATTATTACAATTTAAAATAACTGTTGTCTATTTTAATATATTTTAAAATGTAATTTATTCCTGAGATGGTAAAGCTGAATTTTCAGCAGCCATTACTCCAGTCCTCAGTGTCACATGATCCTTCAAATTTTGAATGTGCTTATCAGTATTTTGTTGAAATAGAAACCTTTCATAACATTATAAATGTCTTTACTGTCACTGTTGATCAGTATAATGCATCCTTGCTGAATAAAAGTATACATTTTTTTGGAAAAAATAAGAAATGTTTTTTTAAGCAACAAATCAGCATATTAATGATTTCTGAAGGATTATGTGATATAATGCATCCTTGCTGAATAAAAGTATACATTTTTTCTTCTTTTTTGGAAAAAATAAGAAATGTTTTTTTAAGCAACAAATCAGCATATTAATGATTTCTGAAGGATTATGTGATACTGAAGACTGAAGTAATGGCTGCTGAAAACATGAAACTGAAACTATGCCATCACAGGAATAAATTACATTTTAAAATATTTTCAAATAGAATTTTGCAATAATAATAATATTTTTGTACTGCATTTTTGATCAAATTAATGCAGCCTTGGTAAGCATAAGAGACTTTAAATAACATAAAAAAATCAGGAATTATTCCAAAATTTTGATTGATAGTTTATAATAAATAAAAAATACATTTGAGAAAATGTAATACTGCTGTTCATTTAATTCTACGTCATTAAAAAGAAAACAAACCAAATACTAAGACATCCTAATAATTTTTTTTTATTTAATATGTTTCAATTAAATAGTATTAATTTAGAAAAACTAAAAGCTTTTTCACTAGTGGTCTTAGACATTTGGCTTCAACTGTATGTCGCTGACATCTTTAACATGCAAACCAAATACTAAGACATCCTAAAAATTTTTTTTAATTTAGTTTAATTTTTAGTTTCAATTAAATAGTATTAATTTAGAAAAACTAAAAGCTTTTTCACTAGTGGTCTTAGACATTTGGCTTCAACTGTATGTCGCTGACATCTTTAACATGATATGATATGTTACGACAGGTCTGGAAAGGTTTGTATTGATGAGTATGACTTACTGATGTGTAGAGGAAGCCCTCGCTATTCATGCCTATGTAGAGTCCTGTCTTGGTGCTTTGGATGGCGACTATTCTCAGACCCACAGGAATCAAGTTGAACAGCACTGCAATTCAGAGAGAGAGAGAGAGAGAGAGAGAGAAAGAGAGATTTTAAACATCAGCGTGGACAGTCTGAAATTTCGCTCTATATGAAATAAATGATGAACGATTCTCAATATTTCTTTTTTTTCAGCATGTTATGAAGGATGAGAATTTCTCTCCAGTGCACCCAAGGTGACACCCCCCCCAAAAAACTGACAGTTTCAGCAGAAACCTCCTGAAATTACAGACCCCAGTGAAATGAGCTTTCAGATTCGGTGAGGCACATTAAAGAGAAACAGAGAAATCTCCTTGCACCTCACTCTTTGTTCTGCCATCACTCTGCCAGCCATAGCCAACAGGATTTCCAGTGTTTCCAAAACTGGGATGTTAGCTTGAAGCGTGTGCATTCTGTGGGACACCGGGGCGGTTGCGCGTGCTCATTCATAAGCCTTTTGCGCTGCAGATGAGAGTGTGTCTATTTTGGTGTGGAGTGTTGACCGACGGGACTGTTGGTGAAAAACGTCTTGAGCGACATGTTGACTTTAGCAGTATTGACAAATGGCCTGTGGCAATGTATCTCCACGGGAGCGATGCAGATTTGAGTAGCACCCTCCTAGTTTTGTGACAACCACGGGCATGACAATACAGACTTCATCTGAACCCAAAACCTTATAGCCTTCAAGGAAATAAAGATCACTGGAGAGCAGATTAATGACTGCATCAGTAGTTAAAGATGAAGTATAGCATAGCTTCCACCAACTTCTTTTTTTATCCCCATAAATCAAAAGCAGTGTCTCAGAACAAGCCGTTCGCAGAATCTGAAAAATGTGACGTCACATTTTACAGGCCCCACCCACGAGTCTTGATGGACACTGCCCTATTAGCAGAGACCCCGCCCTGAGTGAGCCGCACACAATCTGCCATATTTATCTTCACTCTAGTGCATTTAAAAGCAGCATTCAAGTAAGAAATGTCTTCATATTAAAGCTACAGAAGTTATTCAGTCAAGAGCAGTGAGTGATTTTCTGTTTTTATTTTATTGTTTCGGTGTCACTTAATACACAGATCTAATATAAACATGTAATTTCTTTCCCGGCTGTTTATGTAACTAATGTGTGTTTTTGACATATCCTTGTGTGTATTTGACAGTTTAAGCACACTAAGACACGAAAGAGTACTCACATGTCGTGAGACAGCTGCTTTCTGTGCACATGCTTTGGATGTGTGAAGCACTTTAAACTGATATTGTTTTAAAAAACATGCAAATACGTTTTCAGTGCAATAGACATGACAATCAAAACCAAACAGATGTTTTGTTTTAGCAGAGTATCCGAGGCACAAACTGTAAAGGCACAGCCCTATTCTGGAAAAGAGGTGGGGAACAGCAGCTCATTTGCATTTAAAGATACATGCATGAAAACATGGGCATTTTCAAAATGGTATAATGCATTATCTGTGGGGCATTTTGAGATGAATCTTCACCTTAGGTCTGCCTCTGTCAAAGTCCATCTGTGCTAGGCATTATGGGATAAGGGTCAGGGCACAAAACTTGCCTGTCGTTCATCCCCTCTCTCTATTACGGAGAATCGTTTCTTTCTTTTTTTCAATATAGGCATATTCAGCACATTGTGTTAGAACAATGTCAACAGCTCTGACACCTCGCTGTCTGTTAAAGACCTTCAGAGTTTCTCCCGTTTCTTTTTTTCTTTCTCTTACTCCATTCTTCTCCCTCCCTCCTGGGTGGGTTGAAGGGAAGTCATTAAATGTTGGTATGACATTAGTAAAACTTTCTGAATGTTTTAAGTGTTCTTAAGGGGGCAGTGCTGAGGAAATGATATCTGCTGTATGTTTCATCTCTAGTCGACCATATCTGCCAGATGCTTCTAAAAAATGTCTATCACCAGATGGGCATTTACAGGATAAAACACAGTTGCATTACCTCACTAACAGGTTTGTCTTTTGCCTTTGTTTAAACTTTCTTTCAGCTATGATCTTTTTTTCTGTCTAGACACTGGCCTCACACCATCTTTTCATTCTCACTGCTGTCTTGTTCTCTTTGGTTAACCTTTTCTGTGTGCCAAAAAACAATGCCAGAATCTTGCTCTTTTAGAATCGTTCTCTCTTTTTCTCCCTCTGGCCATATACACACTGCAGATAAATACAGTTGTCACTTCTCTTCTGAGCGCTATATGCTAGTATATATAATATAAATACATTTGTATAGTATTTGTTCATTTATTTGATCAAAACAGTTAAAGCAGTAATATTGTAAAATATTATTACAATTTAAATATATTATTGTTTTTTTTATTTGTGATCTTACAGAAATGATTCTAACATGCTGATTTCATGCTCAAACATTTTTTATTATTATCAATATTTAAAACAGTTGTGCTGCTTAATATTTTTTGTGGAAACCGTGATCCTTTTTTTTTTAGGATTCCTTGATTAATAAAAAGTTCAAAAGAACAGCATTTATTTGAAATTGACATTTTTTGTAAGTCTCTTTACTATTACTATACTAATCAAAATAATGCATCCTTGCTGAATAAAGGTATTTCAAGCAAACAAACAAACAAACAAAAAAAGACCCAAAATTGTGTATATAAGTAGTACCAATCACACACTGCTTTCATCAAAAATGTATACATTTAGTTGCCATCCAGATTTCTTGTTCCCAAACATGACTATGGTCATCACTGGCTCAGAAAGACAACTGTATTTTATGGAAGTCTGTTTCCACTTCAGAGTAAATAAAAGTAATTGTGAGATAAAGTTGGAAATTAGAAATAAAGGTCAGAGTGCTGAGATATAAAGTCACAGTTACTAGAAATAAAGTTGCAATTATGATAAATCAAGTTGAAACTAGAAGATAAAAAGTCACATTGCGAGATATAAAGAAACCTTTTGAGACTAAAAAAATTTGCACTTGAAAAGTTGCAATTGCAAGTAATACAGTTGCACATGTAAGATTATCACGGTTGCCTTCTGGGACAAAACAAAGAGACGAGGATAAACTTAAAACAACAGTCTTTAATAAACAATCCAAAGGGATCACATTGCGAGATATAAAGAAACCTTTTGAGACTAAAAAAATTTGCACTTGAAAAGTTGCAATTGCAAGTACTACAGTTGCACATGTAAGATTATCACGGTTGCCTTCTGGGACAAAACAAAGAACGAGGAGACGAGGATAAACTTAAAACAACAGTCTTTAATAAACAATCCAAAGGGGTAACACAAGGCAAGGCGAGACTCACATGAAGCACAACATCGACATTTAATACCGGACAAAGGAAACACAGGGCTTATAAACACATGAAACGCAATCAGGGAGAACAGAAACAGGTGAGGAGTAATCAAGGATAATTCATAGAAACCAGCTGAAACAAATAAACAATCAGGACAGGAACTGGAAGGAGACCAAATAAGGGCATAAAGAAACAAGCGGCAGGAACAGAGGGAAAACAAAACAAAAACAGGCCATAAAGGTGACAAAGATATAGAGCAGTGTTTCTCAACCCTGGTCCTGGGCGCCCCCCAACACTGCACATTTTGTGTGTCTCCCTAATCAAACACACCTGATTCAACTCATTAGCTCATTAAAAGAAACTCCAGGACCTGAAATGGGTGTCAGATAAGGGAGACATACAAAATGTGCAGTGTTGGGGGGCGCTCAGGACCAGGGTTGAGAAACACTGATATAGAGTCACAATTCCCATTTTTATTTTATTCACATTGAAATGGAAACAGATTTCCATAGTATTCCACCCACACAAAGAACAATAATGTAGAGGAATCACTCCTATATTTAAATGGTGTTATTCCGCCCAACATTTTGCATTGTCTATGTGGCCTCTGAGACCAGGAGAAGGTGAGGCAAAAAAGTAGAAAAATGCTGTAATAAGGAATCAAATTTAGTTGCAAAGAAACCAACTCCACCTGACTCTCTCTCTCTTATCTTTTCAAGTGTAAGTACTTGGGTGAAATGCATGATCAGCTCAAGATGTTCACTGGCTGAAGGTGAGGAGAACACACACACACACACACAAACACACACCTCCCCCATTTTGCTCATTAAGACATTACATAATCAACCTGTGGTTCAAGTCAAGATGAAAATGAAAGGAGGAGTGCTAGTCCATCAGTCCGTACCCTTCCCTCCAAGGGGGCACACGCTCTGTGATGAAACACCTATCACTGCCATACCAGCTGTTCTTTTGGCTTTGCTGGGAATTGCCGGGACAAGCACTGTGCCATCTGGGGACCTGGTGCTAATCTGTGTAGAACTACAAAGTTTGCTTGAATAAATTCAAGAAAAAATTATGTTCCCTATCTTAAAGTAGATGAATTGGAGAACATGAACCCTTCACAGAGATTACTATCCTTGTTCACAAATACTGAGCATGTTTGCAGGAGCTTATGCATGCAAACTGAGTTTTTATTAAGGCTTTTAGGTTAGGCCTGGTTCTGAGGCCAATATAAAGATCAGAGAGGTGCATGATGGGAAGGCTATGTAGCATTGGGTAGCTCAAAACAAGTAAACATGAATTTTAAATCCATCAGCATAGCCAGCCACCAACTACAGTGTCTACTTTTTGTGATGTATCCTATAGAAAGCAAGAGAATTCAGCATCTAGGATTTTTCACAACGAAAGCCATAGCGTGTGTTAACACAGGTGTGAGTCACGAACTAGAGAGTTTCTCCATAGTGCTCTTGAGCTGGACTCTCTCATCACTTAGTAAACTGTTGCTTTACATGCTAACCGACCATGGAAGTTTCCAAAGTCATTCTATGGAATTTATCAGAATGGATCAGAGCATGAAAGTTGTTTGTCTGTTTAATGATGGAATTGTATACCATTATAACAGAGGGGTTCCATATATGAATTAGAGCATGTTAATTATTTATTCTGTGCTGATTTGGCAGTTTTTGGGACTAATCAGCATACGCAGCAGTGTGGTGCATAAAGAGCAGCTTCACCGAGACCCCCTCACTGCTAATGAGAGGACACACCTCTAACATCTGACCTCAGTCAAAGAGACAGATAGACAGAGAAAGAGAGAAAGAGAGAGATGGATGTGTGTAGCAGAGGTCTGTCAATGTTCTCTGCTCTTTCTTGATCCTGTTACACAGCAAATGTGAACACCCACACCAAAACAGAGGAATGAACATGCACTATGAAATATTAACTTAAAATAAGAAGCTTTAACATGGAATCTTTCAACAGCACAAAAGGTTTTTTTAGATTATTAAAATGTTCTTCACACTAAGAGAAAAAAAACTTTCTATTAAGAACTGTTTACTGGTTCTTTGGAGAACTCTAAATGGTTCTTCTATGCCATCACTGCTAAAATTTGTTTCCATTGTCTCCTGTCTGTTTACCTCACATTTTGATGCAACAACACAATGTTCAATAATGGCCTATACAATAAAAATATATGATATGGTACTAATATATTATGCTTTGAGGTAGGGCTGCACGATTATGACAAAAATCATAATTGTCGATTATTCCCTTGAAATTGTAATTGCGATTATTAATTACGATTATCACAATTTACATTGAATGATGTTTATACCATTGTTTGATGCAACTGCATGCTGTATTTTTATATGAAAATAAACAAGCTGAAAACACTCTAACTGAAAAACTTTTAGTGCTTTTCTATAGTATTCACCCTCAGATGTCAACTATACATCGGATTGGTTTCTTCTTTAAATTATAAAAAAAGTAAAAATATAAATGGTATTATAGTGTTATACTAAAACTAAAATTAAAACAATGGAAAAACTCTTAAGATAACACGTAGGAAAAAAAAGCATCTTAAGTACACAGAATAACATAAGTGGACTTTGAACGATTAATTGCCACTTGATTAATTGTGCAGCCCTACTTTGAGGAGATTCTGTCATCATTTACTCACACTCATGTTGTTCCAAACCCGTTTGACTTTCTTTCTTCTGTGGAACATGAAAGAAGATTCTGAAGAATGTTTCAGTGTTTTTTATTCATACAATGTAAATTGATGAGGTCAAATGTTAATTTGGACCCCAATGACTCAGTGGACCAAAAAATACTGAAACATTAATCAAAATATCTTCATTTGTGAGTGAACTATCTCTTTAAATCTGAGTTTGAAAGTCAGGGATGGTCTACCAAATAAACAAGTTCTAGCAATGGCTATGTTCATAATGTAGACAAATCCTGACCCACACTCAGCCTTTCTCCAGAACAGGTTCAGGCCTAATTTCAGGAAGCAAAGCAAACTGTACATCAGTTAACATAGCAATTTCACCTTTCTCTCACCTCAGTGCACAATCCGTATATAATAACCATAAAGTCTAGACAGCAACATCAAAATATCTTCATTTGTGAGTAAACTATCTCTTTAAATCTGAGTTTGAAAGGCAGGGATGGTCTACCAAATAAACAAGGTCTAGCAATGGCTATGTTCATAATGTAGACAAATCCTGACCCACACTCAGCCTTTCTCCAGAACAGGTTCAGGCCTAATTTCAGGAAGCAAAGCAAACTGTACATCAGTTAACATAGCAATTTCACCTTTCTCTCACCTCAGTGCACAATCCGTATATAATAACCATAAAGTCTAGACAGCAATCATACAGCTCTGCCACTTGCTTTCTTTTTCTTTCACCTTTTAATTAGCTCTATAAAAAAGTTATTTAACTTTCGCACTGTCTCCAACACAAACCACACAGCTGTTCCCAGATGGTTCCTCTCTGTCAAACCTACTACAGCGAACACACACTTACACAATATCTGACACACACCTCACCTGCACTGAATCAGCCGACAAGCCACCGTTAAATGACTGCTATGCAAGATTTATGGATAGAAACACTTACGAAAATCCTTTTATCGACTGACATAACAGTTTTGCCTCTGGAAGGATTTCAAGACATCTGCAGTAAAAAGTGGAAAAACCTTGAGGGATTTGACTGTTTTGTTTTGTTTATTATGTTCCCATATTAAAAAGACATTATGGGGCATCTGTTTGGCTGCGCTCAGAAATGCGTCTCACGAGGGCAACATGTAATTTATGAGAAGAGTGCTGCGTATTTTAGAAGAGCCCATACTGTACATTAGGACCCGAACATTAGGTACATTAGGAAATAAAAAGCTGAGTAGATGAGATCTCATTAATATATGAAATTATTATCTTCTGCAGCAATTAAATTAAACAAAGAGCAAACTGAGACCTTTTGCTGATGCCTCCCCACTTCACATGTTTTCTTATGAGAAAAAGAGCCGAGTCATCTCACATGTGCCTCTTCTGGGCTCTCAAAAATATCTTTAACTGTGCTCAGATTTTCCAAGATGCCAAAACTGCAAGCAAATGTCAGTGATGTTCCTGAATATAAAATAATTTTGAATTTAGACCTTCAATTCAAATTTGAAGGTACAAGGATGAATTTAAATAACTGAAATTCCAAGAAACATTTTTGTCAAGACAGTGTTGAATATTGGGTTAATAAAGCCTTTAAACGTTTTGAAAAAAGAATAGGCCATACGGACAGATAGAACAACAGAACGATAGATAGATTGCTAGATAGATAGAATGATAGAACAATAGATAGATAGAATGGTAGATAGAATGATAAATAGAATGACAGAACAATAGAACGATAGATAGATAGAACGATAGATGGATAGAATGATAGATGGATAGAATGATAGAATGATAGATGGATAGAACGATAGATAGATAGATAGATAGGTAGGTAGGTAGATAGATAGATAGATAGATAGATAGATAGATAGATAGTAATTTGTAATGTAACAAATGTAATTTGTGACCAATTCAATTCAAATTCACATTCATGAATTGAAGATGAACCAGAACAATCATACAACCAAATTGAAGATGAACCAGTTCAGTTCTAAACTTTGCCCAAGCCTGGTCTCCATTAGGTCTCTTGGGCTATGATAGAGCAACCTCGGAACAAAAACTTCTCCTAAACGTGCTGTGAAAAGGACATCGCACATATCTGGCTGATGTGGATGCTGCTTTACACTGCTGTGAGGAGGGCAAGGTATTATACTACACAGGAGCAGACACAGGCAGACAAGAGAGAGACCTGCCACACTTTGATGTTTGTTTGCCATTACAATCTGAGGGTTGCAATGTGATAGTGAGTTCAGGTAAGGTTAACAGGATTTTGTAAAGCTCTTAAAATGTGTTCAAAAAAGATTTGAGCACACGCACAGACGCACACACCCACATATCTACGAGCACACACTTACAGAAGGAGCTGTTTTCGTCCTTTGTACCGTCCAAGGTGCCATCGGGTAACATCTGCAGGTAGAAGCCATGCCGACAGTACAGACGTGTGACAATACCTTTCAGCTGAGGCTCTGAGAAAAAAAGAGAGAACATTTCATTAAACATGTATGCTAGAATAAGAAACATCTCAATGCATCTTGAAAGATACATGCTGGTGGTACAATAGAAAGTGGAGGTTATATCAGGATGACTGAATTAAGAAAGACAGAAACCAAAACACACACACACACACTAACAAGCACAAACCAGTTGATGTGTCTTTAATTTTACAGCTTATCTCAAAAGACACAGTGTCAGCCATAACAAACTCAAAAACAAGCATTCATGTTTACAAAGCACATTAGGAAGATGAGAAGTTGTTTCTGTCTGTACTGGACAATGGACTGTGGTGTAATAACAGGAACAAAACATTCAGGGATTCTCTGTCTTTCTTCTCAGAGTTTACAGCACCAACAAAACGGACTACACAAAAGAGTTCAGTGAACTGTTATAACATGATCTAAACTCATTCTAGAAAGAGATGCAAAACTGAACTTTGTAAACACTGACAAATAAGTCCACCCCAAAATGGCAGTCCTGTCATAGTTTACTCACCCTCATGTCATTCCAAACCTGTGATTTCTTTCTTCTGTGTAACACAAAAAAAGATACGTTGAAGAAAATCAGTTTAGGTTCCCATTGCCTTCCATTATATTTTTTGACCATACAAATGGAAGTCAAAATAACTTATTTTGTGTTCCACAGAAGATAGAAAGTCATGCATGTTTGGAAAGACGAGGAGTAAATGATGACAGAATTTTCAATTTTGTGTGAACTATCCCTTTAAATAATATGGTACAAAATATGGCAATCATTCAGTACCATGGTATACAGCATATTAAAGTACCACGGTCCCATCTGATACCACTGTACCATGGTACTTCTACAGCAATTTTTAAAGGGACATTTTGGGCTATCTGCTAAGAGAGGGCTCACCGCTCTGCTATAGAAGGGTTACTAAAAATTAAAAAGACCAAATAAAATATCTTCTGGCTTTATGGTTTTCTGAAGGAGAAGTGAGGTGATAGATGTTCAAATGAACTATAGCAGTCTGTTGGAGATCTGTGTAAAACCGCTTGGGACAGTGGTAATGGAAAAGGAAAATGAAGGCAATATTATGAGATGTCACTGTGCTAAAGCTTGTACATTAAAACCACATAACCAATGATCAAAACTGTGTAGGAAACTAACAGCTATGGATGTGCATACAGTTGTTTAATTTCTAATGGTAACTAAACTGGCATATATTTATAGAAATTATATTTTTAATATTATAAATAATATTAACATTAAAGTGCACTGTCTGAAAATCTGAAGTGAATAAAAGCAAAGCTATTTTAAATGTGTGTGCAAATGGTGTTTGTTATGTAACTACGTTCAACAAATCTTCTACAAAAATAACACACAGTGTATTTTAAGTGTAAACAGGCTGCTTTTTAAATATTAAGCAATCTCATTAAAAGCACAGATGACAGGTAAAGTGTCTATTGTTGCGGCAGCTGCTCAGAGAAGTCTAGATAGAGAAAAAATGTGAATAATATATAATAAATAATAATATATTAGAAAAATGCAAAAAAACAAAACAAAAAAAAAACACATGTATGAAAATAAGAAGTGTTTCCAAATCAGCATATTAGAATGATTTCTGAAGGATCGTGTGATGCTGAAGACTGGAGTAATGGCTGCTGAAAATCCAGCTTTGCTGTCACAGGGATAAATTACATTAAATAAATATTAATATAGAAACTGCTATTTTAAATTGTAATAATATGTCACATTATTACTGCAAACAAATGCAGCCTTATTGAGCGTTAAAAAAAAAAATCTTACTGACCCCAAACTTTTCAGCGTTAGTGCTTTTAGCAAACTCTTTTTCTTTTTGTCACTCTTTTTTCACAAACGTTCACTCTCTGTGCCTCTCCCATTTCCTCTCAGCACTCCCTCTATGTAAAACACTACAGAAATAGTTTGGACTTTCTCTCTGCAGGCCTCTATTTGCTATTGTCCATTGATCAGTTCTGAAGGTGAGGCCCTGAGGGACCAAACTACAGTTTTAACATTCAGCTACATGGCACAGTGTCTGGCTGCCACCGCCACAGTCCACAGACAAATCACCGCTCACAGAAGCCGGGAAAGAAATATGTGTGCGCTTTTGCATTAAAGGCTCCACACAAAGCAAAGAGGTGGCAAATAAAGATATTCACAGATTAAACCGGCATATTCTGCCGCGATAAGGCACATTTCCTTCATCTCCTCCGACTCGGGTTGATTCGGGTTGTGTAGGAAATTCCCCGCAGATCCGTCTTTGTCAGCTTCTTTAGTAGCGCTGCCGTGACACGCTTTGAAAGCCACACACAGAGCGGCACTGATACACAAGCCCTCTCTGTCTTCAGTTTGCACTGCATAACCATAAACCCCATCTCCCGGGACAGAGGGTGTGAAGGGCACTCCTGATGGGTGATATTGATGTGTGTTTGAGTGCGTCCGCTCAGGGATGCCAGTCTGCCAAGAGCCTAGGCTTCAACAAAAGTTACACAGACACATTGGCACACCGGCGACATCACCTGGTTAGAGATCTCCTTTCCCTTCTCTGTGCCTCACTATCTCTCCTATAAGCCCCGTCAGGGTGAGTTATGTGGTTTTGCATCTCTCTAAATAACACCATACATCAACCAATCAGCTGGAGATGGAGTTGTCGCCTTCCCGTGGGGGAGAGAAAAGTGAACGAGTGTTACAGAGGGAGAACAAGAGAGTGGGCAGAAGTTATGGCACAGTTATTTTATTGGAAGACATTCACGCGCTAAATAAAAGAGGAAGACTCTCATACTTCACGCAAAGCATCGATAAAGCTTTCAGGCACAACAGATCCTAACAAAAGTCTGGCTCCTCCACTGCCATATTTCATTCTGGGAAAGAAAGGGAGAGAGGAGGAGAGAAACGAAGAGAGACACAAACAAAAATAAGACTGCATTTATTATCCAGCATTTACGTGAGCACATTAAAGGGGTCATATCATAGATTTTGTCAAATCTTTTTTCTTGAAGTCCATTTACAATTTGTTTGTGCCAAAAACACACCGTTTTTGATTATCGTTTTCTTGCAGTTCTCTGACCGTTAGAAATAAAAAGTCAGTTTATTTTTGTGACAGTAAGAAGTGTCATTTCATCAATATTTACAGTTTCAGTTTGAGGTTAGTGAGATTTTTTTTTTTAAACAAATTAAAATTCAGTATTGATCAAAAGTTACAGCAAAGACATTGTTATAAAAGATTTCTATTTCAAATAAAAGCTGTTCTTTTGAAGTTTCTATTCATCTAAAAATGCTGAAAAAAGTTGCTGAAAAATGCTAAAAGTTTTTCAGAAAACTGTGAAAACTGTTTCCTCAAAAATATTACGCAGCACTTAAGCAACTATTTTCAACATTGATAAAAATAAGAAATGTGTCTTGAGCACCAAATCAGCATATGAGAATGATTTCTGAAGGATCATGTGACACTGAAGTCTAGAGTAATGGTTGCTGAAAATTCAGCTTTGCCATCACAGGAATAAATGACATTTTAAAATATATTCAAATAAAAAAATATTTTACAGTGCAACAATATTTCACAATATTACCATTTTTACTGTATTTCTAGCAAATAAATGCAGCTTCGGTGAGCATGAGACTTCTTTCAAAAACATTTTTAAAAATCTTAAGACCCCAAACTTTTGAATGGTAGTTATTGCACATTTCAATGATGGAAGCAAAAGAACTTTGTAAGAAATCCTATTAAGAGTTAAAAATGTCCACTGTACACTGTAAAAAGTAAAAATGTGCAATGCAGAACTACTAATAGATGAATAACTCAAAAGCTCAAAAGTCAAAAGCTATTTAAATGTACAGCAAATACGTAGTTTAAATTCAACAAAACAGTCCCACTCAACAAAACTAAAATCATGTAAATCAGATCATCTTATAAACATAATTCTGATTCTTCTCAACTGCCTCTTCATATTAAAAACCTGCAGACTACTTGTTTTGCGCAGAATTACAAAAACATACTTGTCAGGCACAATATTGTCTGTGCCAAGCTAACAGGAGTGGAAGCGTACAAATGCGTGCTTCATATTCAGAGGACGTATTGGGCTAAAGTGCATAAAATTACAGTGGACGCTCCCTGTGGCCTAATGTGACTGTGCGTAATGAAGGGGGGCGGGGCTGTGTTTTATCCAAGGCTGTCATGACAATGTTTAGCTGGACAATCAATCACTTACCATGGGAACAACTCTCACATTTCTCACCAAACAACTGACCCAAACTCAGATCCATCCATACATCCATACATCATTAGATCATTGTATAATTCTATCCATCCATACAAATCTATCTCTATCCCTACATCCACCCATTCATTCAGATCTATCTCCATCCATCCAACCATCCATCCATCCATCCATCAATTGTTAGATCATTGTATTATTCCATCGTCCTTTCTAATTTCTGTATCCACCCACATCCATCCATCCATATCTCTCTATCATCGTTAGATCATTGTATCGTTCTATCCATCCATTCAAATCTACCTCTATCATCCATCCATCCATCCATATCTCTCTATCATCGTTAGATCATTGTATCGTTCTATCCATCCATTCAAATCTACCTCTATCATCCATCCATCCATCCATCCATCCATATCTCTCTATCATCGTTAGATCATTGTATCGTTCTATCCATCCATTCAAATCTACCTCTATCATCCATATTTCCATCCATCCATCGTTAGATTTTATTGTTCATTCATTCTATCTATCAGTCTGTCTGTCAATGGATGTAAATGCAGGGAATGTCAAGAAAAACAGCCACATACATATACATAGAGGTCACAACAGACAGTAATGTGCAGTTTGGGATTAATTAAAGTTGGACTAATGGGCCTTTTTTCCTCTGTAAAGCTTAATGATTTGTGTCTAAACGAGCTGGGACATGTCTGAGGCCTGCCGATAGCGGGATGAGAGAATGCAGTGAAAGGGGAGAGATGGAGAAGAAAAGC